GGAAAAATTAAAAGGGGAGACTGCTGAAAGACTTCAGATGAGCTGCACCGGATGCAAAGGGGAGGCAACAGGGAAGCCTTTTCCCTTGTTAACAGCCAGACAGCTCTAACACACACATCTGCCCTCAGTCCCAGAAGCGTGGGGCATGTGAGCTGCTTGGGGCTCTGAAGGAGAGATGGAGGCCAGTGAGTGGCCTGGAGCATCAATTCCCACTGTAGGCATTAGGAGATGCTATCAATGGCCTTTCTGCATGTCCAGTAGCTCCCCCATCATGATGCCATAAAGTGAAGCTGGTGAATTAGCTAGATGTGTCTTGGTGAATTTTCTAAATCTGTTGAATATCAGATTGAGAAATGAGCAGCAGCCTGGGGGTTGTTGTTGTTCTGAGTGTACCCCTCAGCCCAAACTCATCAGTCAGGGACTGAGTCAGCTTTCTTGGGAGAAGGGCAAGGTCAGGCACACCAAAGACACTGCCAGAAAGAGTTCTTCCCTTCAGGAAGCAACATTTTTTAAGATCTTTACCCATTAAAAAGTTTCCTAGCGATAGATTTCCAAAGGTAATGTCAAAGCACGTAATAGATCAATAAAATAATTGCAGCTACCATTTAAATCCCTGCAGCTGAAGAGGTTTCTCTCCCTCTCTACCAACCTTTTGGTAGAATCCTTTTCTGACCATTTGCTATTGTATCATTATTTTTGCTAAACCGACAGTTCTTGCTTGCCCTCACTGCACTGTGTCTCCTTGCTCCTGAACGCTAGTATATGTGGCAGCCCATGTTTCTCTCATTTACTCATCTTACCAAAAAACATAACAATCAGAGAATTTCTCTACCTCCCCCACCTAAAGAGTTGCTCCTTCTGCCCTAGTGCTGAGTCTCATCCAAGTCCCTGGAAAAGGTGTCCCTCGGCTTGCAAGGAACCATATTTTTAATCTTTCTCCCAAGCAACATCACAACTAGGAGCTCAAAGTTTTAAGCAGAGAAGCAAGTTGGCCTTTCCTAGAGGTCCCCTCTGCAGCCAGAGGATAGAAGCAAGTAAGACTCAGCAACCCTGAGTTGCACCTCCCCAGACACACTTCTGAGGCTTCCTCTCTGAGGTGTCTTCACTCTCCAGTGGGGAGGTTACAGGACTGTTAAGTGCAGTGGTAATGATAAGCAGAGAAAATCAATTTTAAAGCTTGGCGTGCAGGAATAAATGTTTGCTCTTCTGAACAAAAACCAGAATTTTCTGCTTGTTTATGGTACTGAAAAATGCAATACGGAGAAAGAAATACAAAGAGATTTTTTGGAATTGTATGGCTCTACTGTGGTGCCTCACAGCTTTACAAGCCCAAGCCCTAGGGCTGGCACTAGGCAAAGATCTCAGGACGTACTTGGCTGCTTCCCTGGACTGTGAAGTGGAGCCCCAGGTAGAGCCTCTGCCTGCAAAACCCATGTGTCAACTTTCTCTTGTCCCATTTCACCATGTGTAGCACTGGCTTTGGAATTACAGAGCTGTAAATCTGTATTTCCTTTTATTCAGTTGCCAGCTTCTGAGCCTCTATGAGTCACATTTTCAAGCTTTTTTTAATAAACACTGGGATAAAAATCATTCTTGAAATGTTCTTAAAAAGACTAAACAAAGTAAAACACAAATGACAGCCGCAGTTCTCCCGTAATTTCCTGCCTTGTGTAGAGAAATTCTAAGAATATACAACTGGAATATGTGCTAAGATCCTGGAAGATGGAGATGGCAGAGAAATGATATTTTGTTGGATTTCATGAGTATACAGAAGTCCCATTCAAGCTATTAGGAATGGAGAAGGAAGAAATATTTTGAAATTTCTATATTGTTTCTGTAAGAAAACAGTTGAAACTAACTTGCTTTGACATTTTCATGATTTCACTTTTTAAAGAAGATATTACTGGCATGTTTCTAAGGGTGAAACCCCTTTATTCTGGCACGTAAACAAGTTGTTAAGAAAGTCAGTGGCGTCTTTATGTTTATATAGCAGAAAATATTCACAAAATATTTCACTTAAGCTTTGTAAAGAGGAAAAAGAGTCTCTCTCCCTTCTTCTTTTTGAAAGGTGATATTTGGACTCAAGGACCCTTCCAGCTTGAAAAATGGTGTGCACAGTTCCTTTAATAGTGATCTCTCAGGAGACCTGGGATTTCATTATCCAGTTTTTACTCTGCAGCTTCACAGTCCCAGAGCAACCTAGGAAGACTTCCTTATTTTTACCTGAGGTACATCTTGCAGACACTACAGAGCTTAAAGTTTTGTACCTACAGGACAAACATGTTCAAATATCCCTCATTTGTGTAGGAGGCTAAATCTTGTAGAAGGGTACACTTTGGAAACTTAATCCCATTCCCATACAAATAATAGAGCAAGAAGAGCTGAAACAGGACAGGTGGATGTAAAATGAAACCATTCAGTGAGGGACAGGACGAGGGACCTTGACAGCCCATTACTGCTCGAGTAGATACCCAGATCCTTTGCTATGTTGGGCCCTAAACCACTCAGTAATTAAAATATTTCTGTAATATACAAGGAAGCTTGAGCTACTCAGCATTTCCCAAAGTCTCAGTTCATCCTTACCAAGGAGATACTAAATTAAAACTCCTAAGGACAGGCTATCTTTCCAGGGCTCCCTCTATTAGACAGAGACATGCTCTGAGGACAACCTTCCCTTTGCTCCTTAATGTTCCTGTGTCCCACCTAGTCACAGATGGGAAGCTACAAGCTTGCAGAAATCACCCCTCTCTCCCCCAAAAAGTTGCAGGCATCTTCTGATTAGCTGGCTCTTGGGTTCAGTTTGAAATCCCATTCCTTGCTTAACACTCTTCCCCACTGTATGGTAGGTCTTGGAGAGTTGGCCCCTGTTGTGCAATCTCAGTATGACTCATGCAAGCACCTCCACAGCCTTTGCCTTTGGGAGCACTCTCCTTTAGAGTTCTGGTTCTGTGAGAGCTCATACTTCTCAAGGCTTCGATGTTACCTTTGGAATGACAGCTACCACAGCGAACATGCTTCTGCAACACAGCACCTCTGCAAACTTACAGTGTCCTTACAGTACACAGAAAACCTGCAGAAGAATTTGGATACAAAATAGTGAATTTAATTCTGAAAAATAATCACCCAAAATTTCTACTTTTGACAGCTGCAGTGTCTCTAAGACCATTTTCCTTGGAGATCCTTACACTTCTGTCATGTTTGAAATGCCTTAACCTTTAGGCTTTTGTTGGCCTCTGCACAATGATCGTCCTTAGAAGTGCAGAGGTGTTTCTGCTTAATTATACAAATATCCTTTGGAAAGTGTGCTTCTTTCCCTTACGAGTTCAGCCTCATTGTAGGTCCAAATTTGCAGATGGAGGTAAGTACCTTACAATGGTGATGACTGATAACTGAGGATTTTTTGTGTTCACAGCGTTCCCTAATGTAGGCCACTTTTCATCATCTAAAGTTGCGTGATAATGATGTCATTTCCATTGCTTGAATGTTGAACCAGCAGCCACATACCATGGAGTTAAAATTACTGTTTACAGGGCAGCTAAACTGTGTTGTTAACAGTTTAAGGCAGCGTTTGCTTTGCTTCTGGGGACAAAATGACAGTTGGACTTTCCTAAAACTCATCAAACAGGGATGAGACTGCCAAGAATACAAATCTGCACTGTAGTCAAGGTGGGGGGAAAAAAGGGGAGAGAAGAAAAATGAGACAGCTATTTTTGTGTGAAGATGTGGTGACCATCAGATAAAAATGACAATGTTGTACTTGTCAGAAAATAAGTCACATTGCTGATCACCGGATAACTTTGATGTCATATTCCACAATAATTTAACTGAGATTCCATGGTAAGATTAATGGTGAAATTTTTAAAACATGCACGAAGAAGATCTTTCTTCTAATATCCATCTGTCAGACAGTCCTTATCTGGAGCTTATGTTGATTGATTATTATTGTGATTGAACTAGAACTAGAACATGACCTTTAAATAATAAAGAAAATTATGTAGATTCAAATGTGAATGGTTAAGCTTTTGGGTCTTTAGTAAACATTTTGAAAAACATTTAGGCCCTCAAATGGTTGTATATATATGTGTACTCTACATTAATACGTGCCTTTGCAGACTCAACCCAATTAATATGAAAAATCAGCAAGAAAAATCACCAAAATACTCTGTCTTCTCTATCACAAAAGACTGTGAATTAGGTTTAATGCATATTTCCAACATATAGGACTCACACTGGAATGAGTTGTTTAGGAGATCCTATATGATTGTAAGCAGGGCACATGTTTGGACTGAATGCAGAACAACTTGCTTTGAAAAAAGTGCTAGTTTCTAGTGTATGACATTGGATAAATGATTGTACATACTTTGGAATGAATGGTGAGCATAAATCTCACTTTGGACATCTAGTGAAATATTTGCAGCATATTTTAAACTAGCATAGTTGTGCCAATTCTTCTCTAGTTCTCACTGCCTACCTTGTGTTTTTATGGGGCACTTTGACAATGAAAGAAGGTTTGGGTGGTGTTGGTCCCTACAAGGCTGCAGCCAGCTGGAGACACCCTTTTGCTCAAGAGCCTCTATTCTGCAGCTGAAAGATGAAGAAATGCAGCAGGACTTTCAGATTTTGCCCTCTATTAATCTCTTCCGCAAATGAAGGAGGTTTACAGCACTGTTGTGTGTTTGAGTTGATCAGCCACTGAAAACGGACTCAAAGTATTGAAAGCATCTAGGAGATCCTAACTCTTTCAAAGCATCTCATCCTGAGCAAGGTGATCAGGTCAAGTAGAAGATGATATTCACTTCTATATTGTATTGCCTTGCACAGCAGAGCCACGGAGCATTGACAGAGGCAGATGATGGATTAGAGGTCACAGTGTGTCTGCAAATTGATGGGTTCAAAAAACATGGATTCTGCCTTTCATGTGCCCTGACCAGCACTGCATTTCATTTGTACTCTGTCTTCTCTGTGTTTTGCTTAAAAGGGACTTTTTTTCCCTTCCCCAGAACTATCACTAGGAAGTTTATGGAACTCACTTGCACCTGGATGAAATCCTGTGCCATTATGTTAATCCCTTAATTGAAGGTCATAGCCAGATGAGAAAAATGAAACAGGAGACATGCTTGGTCTATTAGGAACTGGATTTGTACTCCAAGAATTTGAAACAAGAATGCACTACCTCCCTATGGAATGAAGCTTCAGGTGCCTCCAAACCCATGCCTGAGGTGAGCTGAGTAAGATAGCAGACGCATTTCTGAAGGGTGGCCATGTTTTATCTATCACATCTATGTTTGAAAAAACTGCTCATGCAACCATTGCAAAAAAAAAAAATGCTCTAAATCAATGCATGAGTGAGTCCTCTCACACTAAAATGGGGGGGACAATCAAAGCGAACTGTGATAGCATTCATAATGGAAACCAACACAGCAACATTCAGTCAGGTGGCCAGTGGTTTATTTCAGAAAGATACTCTTAGGCTCACAGAGGGCTGAGAAACGATGCATGGTGACTGTGCTTCTTCCCTAGCTTGTTTCACACACCTGTGTTGCAGCCTGCCAATGCTGAAGTCTGGGGCATGAGATGTTTCACAAGAAGATGTCCACCTTGAAGAACTAGGCCTTATTTTCATGTGAAATTCTGCTCCCAGCTCCTCACCTTTTTTCAGTGGCCAGTTACAAAAACAGAAGAGGAAACAGAGAGGCATTAGAAATATCTCCCCATTTTCTCCCCAGGAAAAAAGGTAGGAGTAATGAAAGCAGAATTCTCCCTGCCTGTTTAAACTCTTGCTTCTCTTCTCAGGCACAGTGGGTTTGGCAGCACGTGGTTTTTTTTCCGTCCATAATAAACCCTGAAATTCTTAAAAGGTTGCATTTAAAATAAGAGATTTGTCAGTCCAACAAAATTTTAGGAAAAGGTTTACAAAATTGATAAAAATGTATTTATTTCCTCTTCTTTCTCCTGGATCTTATTCAGGTTTCCTTTTTTTTGCATTTTGATCTTATCTGGGCTAAGTCTAAAGAAGGTGTAAAAGAGAGCAAATAAGACTTAAGGGTTTGTAAGTGAATGAGTCGCATGTAAGTGGGAGATATTGCGAAGAGCCTGATTTTCAGAAGGGAGTGTAAAGGGAATGGAGGTGGAACCCTGACACGTCCTTTTGATCCTGGGAGCAGAGGCTGTGCTGTATAATAGATTGCTTTTATGTGGGATACATGTAAAGGTGTATCCTAGATCCAAATGGCTGAGCTTCATAAATTCTGACATGGGTAAGGCTGTTCAACAGTTTTATAAGTCATATTTTAAGCTATTGGAATTGCTTGGAAGAATTGGACTTGAAAAATTAAGTAATGTTCAATCATTTAGGTTAAAATGGAAACCTACTTTTTAAAGTTAAATATCTAAAGACCAGAATCACATTTTGTATGCAATATGGTGTGGGAAACAGGCTCTCTCAGCGTCCTCAACAGCCCAATAGGAATGAGGGTTTGGACACTTCGATGTTAGGTGCAAAATGGAACACTTTATTAACATGGTTCCTGCCTTTTATAGGGCAGGAGCAGAACTTGCTGGAACAAGGGGAGTAACTGGGGAAGACCAAGGGTGGAGTATGCAAACTGTGACCATATAGGGAGAACAAGGGGAGGAGTATATCTATATAAGGAAGAAATGGCCATATAGTGTTGGTACTCCAATGCAGCAGCAACTGGCCAATAGAAATGCAGGGTTCAAAGGTATAGGGAAAATAAGGGAAAATAGGGGTATGATGAAAGGGAATAATATAATAACATAGTATAATAACATTAAAAAAATCCTAAAACACACTTTCTCAAAAACTGGATCCCAATAATATGGGAAAACACGAAAATAATAGTAAACAACCCTGTACAGCAATATCTGCAATTGACTTCAGAATATTGCAAATTATGTTGCTGTAACCAGGTTGTCATGAGTTTTAATGGCACAAGGAAGCATGATAGCACAGATTTATATCAAAGTCTGTTATAGCAGAGAGTCTTACAACAAGAGCAGAATGTATTTCTGTCATACTCAAAATGTCATCTCAGTCGCAGACAAGACTGATGAGGAAAAATGATTAGATGTAGCGATTTCATTTATCTTTCTTTTCCAGAATGGGGATTTGATGATCTCCCATTAGGTTTCAATGCTTAAAACACAAATTTCCAATCACCACTGTAACACAAAGGAGATGAGCCTTCGTTTGCCTGATTTTCCTTTCATTTTTTACCCAGTCACTGGAAATCAATGAATTTTTACCAGCAAAACAAAATATTTTTGCTCCTGTTTTGCTCCCTGCCGTAACACAGTACCACATTTCTCTGCTTAGTTATGGTCTGAACATGTGTCTCAGTTTGAAGAGACTGGAAAGTTTGCTGAAGAGGATGAGTTATGAGACAAACCAAACTCCTCTCTCTCAGCAATTGTGAATTCAAAATTAAGGGGCTTTAATCAAGAAAGTGTGGAAAAAACAGAAGAAATAACAACCCTTTATTAAGAAATATATGTATGTTGGCAAGAACAGCAATAGAACACAAAAAAACCCCCTAGGCAATAGTCCTGTACCCAAAAAGTCCCCTTCAAACAAAAGAAGAAAAAACAACAAAAAAAGGTCTGAATGAATACTTCTTTGTCCTTTAGTGCAGTGCTAATCATGGCCTGCAGGGGGCGCTGTTGGGTCACTGGAGGTGCAGAGCCTGCAGTACCCGTGGTGACCTGCAGGGGGCGCTGTTGGGCTCTGGCAGTCACCACACAGGGAGGGGTCTGGGGGGTGGTCTTGGATCGCGGGAGAGGCTGAAAAGAAAGCAGAGACCTTTCCCCCAATGGAAGAAGGGCAGAAGGAAAAGCAGTCCACCCCCATGGGACTCACTGTTGTCCTCAGATGATGGTGTTTCAAAGCTCCTCCTTTTCTCCTAGCG